CGATACGTATGCTTGCGTTGATAAATGTGACTTTATCATTATTGAATATTTTATATATACATCTTTATTGAATCTATAACCGTTGTCAAGTTTTGGTGCCGTTGCCGAATAATTAAATCTTCTAACAACAGTGTTAAATTCTTGTATTTTTAAGCATATATAAAGTCGTTGTCAGAGCCCAATCTAAATTGGCCTTCCCCATTGCCTTTAAACCACTGATTGGCCATCTTTGGCCATCTCCTCCGCCATCTCCTCCTAGGCCGAGCCACCTTGTGATCAAATTCATACAAGGACTCAATTTAACCTCAAATTGAGTTAGGGCAAAGTCTTCTCAAGTCCAAACAAAGTTTCCAAGCCAATCAAATCGAACTCAAATCGACTGTGGCTAAGGTACGGTTGAGCTAGCCCTAATGGCGTTCGGGTTTGACACTTTGTGAAACAAACTCATTCAAAACCTCATCATCACTGTATAGATGCCTTTGTCATCTTCAGATGAAGCTCTAGAAACAAAAATCGCTCAAATCCATCAAGAATCGAGCGAGATTTTGCTCCTCGATCATCAACAATTTACGAGTTATCATATAACGAAGGGGATGAACGGATGCCGTCTGTTTCCGTGTTTTGGAAACGGACGACTCTGATTTAATATCGCCATCTCCGCTGTTCGGATGCCCGCAGGGGATCAACCGCATCTTCGACCCGTCCGAGGACACGCGGCGCCTTTGGGTTTATCGGGATTTATTTAAATCAAAATAAACCTTAAAACTTCAAAATTCAATATCTTGACATCCAAAATTTATAAAAATAAAATAAAAATACATCTGAACTCAACATGAAAAGTACAAAATTATGATACCAAAATTATAATGTTATCCTTTATATTTAATTTTTAAATAACTAAATACTCTCTATAGTGTTTTAATTATTAAAAATTATTTATAAGACAGAAAAATATGAAATTATTAGGGATTTATCTTTAGGCCTTTAGGAATCCTCCCTGATTTTTTCTAGGCTAGAAAAATCCTTTAAAACACAATTTCCTAATTTTCAAGACACTTTGTAATTATTTCTTTTAAATAATTATAAAAATGAAAATTAAGAAAAAGAAAATTAAAAACGGTTAGAAAATTTAAGGTGACAGACAATAACCTTAAAATGACAATTCTCAAACCATTAAACAATTTAAAATGACACATTAGGGTTAAAATTTATTAATTTTAAATTAATATTTTAAACTCTAAAAATCCTCCCCTCACCATACTTAGCTCATTTCATTATGGACTAAGTCAATATTGAGTCTAACTCAAAATAGACTCAAATCAAATTTTAATTAGGTCTAAATAACATTATTAGACTTAATTAACCCATTAAACCTTAATTAAACTAGGTTTAATACAAAATCAAACTTTAATTAGGTCTAAAAGACATCATTAAACTTAATTAACCCATTAAACCTTAATTAAATTAGGTTTAATACAAAATCGAACCTTAATTAGGTCTAACCCATTAGACCTAATTAACCATTAAGCCTTAACCACATTAGACTTGACCAACCATAAACCTAATTAAACTTAACCACAATTAAGTCTAATTAATCAATTAAAATTTACCAAAATTAGGTTTAATTAACTTTAACCTAATTAGAATTAACCCATATTAAGTCTAATTAATTAAACATTACGTAAATTAGGTTTAATTAACCTAACTTAATTAGAATTAATTAATCAATTAAACCTTACCTAAATTAGGTTTAATTAACTTTAACCTAATTAGACTTAACCCATATTAAGTCTAATTAATTAATTAAACCTTACCTAAATTAGGTTTAATTAACCTTAACCTAACTAGACTTAACCACAAATAAGTCTAATTAATCAATTAAATCTTACCTAAAATAGGTTTAATTAACCCTAACCTAATTAAACTTAACCCACATTAAGTCTAATTAATTAACTAAACCTTACCTAAATTAGGTTTAATTAACCTTAAACTAATTAGACTTAACCCATATTAAGTCTAATTAATTAATTAAACCTTACCAAAATTAGGTTTAATAAACATTAACTTAATTAGACTTAACCACAAATAAGTCTAATTAATCAATTAAACCTTACCTAAATTAGGTTTAATTAACCTTAAAACTTAACCTTAAT